CTCCGCATGATGCAAAACAATCGAAACCGAGCCGCCCCCCTGGTTAACATGTTTTCTCTCTTCCTCCTCAGATTTTTGACATGGCCCGCCTCGCCGTCATCGTCGGCCCGAAGGGGCTCCAGCCCGGCGAGGAACTGACCGTCCGTTTCACTCTCCCGTGCCTGCTCCCCCAGGCCACCGATCCCTGACAAAATCCCGCAGTTCTTCTACCCCTCGACCGAGTGGCACATGGCCCAGCCGTTTGACTGCCTCTGCGGCACCGAGACGTGCCGCGGTCGCATCAGCGGCGCTGGTGACATGACTGCCGAGCAGCTCAGCGGCTTGTACCTGAACAAGCACATCCACGAGCTCCTCGAGCAGAAGGCCTCCAACGGCAACGGACACGCAGCGTCTGGAAATGGCGCTTCCCCGGCAGCCGTCAAGGACGAGGATGACAGATCGGACCTTTTCGGTGCCGAGAATCTCGAGGATATTGCCCGAGAGCTGCGAGAGGTTTCTGACCGCGCCGAAAAGGCCGCCGCCGCCGCCCGCCGCGCCGTGGCTGCCCTCCAGGCTCGCCAGTCCGGTATGCCCAAGGCGGGTAAGAAGGCAAATGGGGTCTCTTCGGCCGCTACCTTCAATGCCGCCGCGGGCTCCCTCCGTCGCGGTCCGACGTCGCGTGAGCTGAGCGGCGAGATGGGTGGAGATACTTCTTTCTCTACATAGGTCTACCGTGGTCATGCTTGCTCTTTTGCAACATACCATGGTAGACGGAGTGAGTGGGGGGTTGGTCTCATCCAGCCGTAACCCATCCTCCCTTTTCTTGATATCTTGACCTTGCCCGCTGCGCCGCACCGAATATAAAATTGCTTTCCCCAAAAAAGCGCCAGATGCCCCAATGCCGTGACCCATATGCCGTATAGAAACTCCCACGTGATAGTACAGTGACAACTTCAAACCACGCCCCTTCCCAGCCCACCACCATCAACTCCGCGGCGGCTTCCCCGTAAAAGCCGGACACGGACTCTCGTCTGGCCCCTTCATCCCCCCCAGCAACCAATCCGTCAACCCCACGACCTTTGCCCCGACCCCCCTCTCCCACTGCCCACTCTCCTCGACATGCTCAATCGTATGGCTCAGAATCCTCCCTTCCCCGTCAAAGTCAAATATAAACAGCCCTGTAAACTCATTCCTCGTGTCCCCCACCGCCTGCGCGTTCCCCACGGGCGCCTTGTGCCCCTCGTCGCCGGCGCGCTCCTTGCCCCCTCCCCCGCTGATCCGCGCCACCAGTGCCGCCACCAGCCAGTTCTTGTCGTTGCCCCCCCTCGTCCGCCACCGCACCACCAGCTGCTCACCCACGGCCCCGCGCGGCCGCGTCGGCCGCCCCACCGACGACGCCGGCGACGGGTGCGGTTGCACCATGCGCTCCGAGAGGATCTCGAGGCGCACGTTGCCGACGAGCGGCACGCGGTTCCACGCCAGCGGCGCCGACCAGAGCGCCGCCATGTAAGCGACGCGGCCCGAGACGGCGGGGAGGTGCGGGTGCGTCGAGGGGAAGAGGCGGAGCGAGATCTTGGGGGCGAGGATGGCTTGCGGGAGGGGTTTCTGGAGGAGGGTGGGGAGGCGGTCTTGGAGGATTCGGAGGGCTGGGAGGGGGGGTATGGTGTTAGTAGGGCTCAGTGGGAAAGGGGCCAGGGGGGTGGGGGAGACCAACTCTTGCCTAGTTTGACTTTCCGGTCGTCGGGCGGCGGGCTGTTGGTATTTTGAGGGCTGGGGTTCGGGATGTCGGATGGGGTTGGTGCGCTGCTGCTGTTGGCGGCGGTGGTAGTGCTTTGGGTGGTGGCGGGCTGGGGGCGTTTTGGAGGGGGTAGGTTTTGGCTGAAGCCGTTGAATAGGGGTCGCGCGGAGGGATATATCGTTCTAGGGACGACGAGGAGGGACGGTGGGGATATGGGGAGGTCGAGGGCTGGCTGCGATGGGCGTGGAATAATCGGCCATGTTGAGGTCGGCTGTCGTGCAGCGAGAGACGCCTGAGGAGCCCGCAGTATCCTCGTCGGAGCCGACATGGTGACCGCTTTGGATCTTCGCGCAGCTAGTTATGGGTCGCAGCTGTTTGTCGGCGCAGTTGAGGTGGGAATCGGTTCGCCGATGGAGTGCGGTCTGGTGCTGTACTGTGTAGGTGCGGATGGACAACGGTCGGATGATGTCAGTGACGGTATTTTTTACAGTGCTGGCGGGGCGCTAGAGACATTGCCGAGCGGCACGGGGGAGCAATGGCATGGAATGGGATTCTGGCCTTCCAGAACCCAAGCGGCGTCGAGCCGCATCAACTCATTTATTCATGCAGCGAAATCGACCTGCTACTGGGCATCAATGAACGTATATGTGTATGCTTATTTTGCTTGAAGATTTTGTTGGCCGCTCATAAAGCTGGACGCTGCCTTGGGGTCGGACATTGAGAAACGTACTTGGTTGCACAGGTCAGAATAGGCATGCTTGAGACGGGCAGTTATCAAAAAGGCATGTCAGTCAGCACAACCTAGAATTTGGAGCAGACACCGTGTGATGATGAGGTTGAGACAGCACCCCCACGGTGGAACGCGGTGAAGGATGATGGGATTCCGTCATGTGCTTGAACTGGGAGGTTGTGGGCGGGCAGGAGAATATGCTGGCGATGCATCAATCTACAAGGAAACACCTCCGAGGTGCCAAAAATGGTATCGCATGGTCAAACATCCGCCGAGGTCTGACTCTGCAGCAGAATAGACAATGGGTTTCTTTGCGGCAAGCGTCAGAACCAAAGATAAGATGTCGGAATCCAGGCCAGGGGCATTGTCGGATGGCGGTTGTCAGACACAAAATGAGCACATGGTCAGAGCTGAAAGGCAGGCTCGTATCACGTGCCAGCCCTTCTGACCTTTGACTTGGAGGAGCCCGGGCCTCCTGCGTCTCTGGGCATCTGTCGTTTGTCCCCTAATCGCTTGGACCCACTTCTCCTTCTGACGCCCTGACGCAGTCGGCCTTCCAACTCCAAGCCTCGACCTGCTGCCTTCCACATCACCCCAAGCCTCAAGCACGCCCATAAAGCGACTTCGCTCCAAAGCCCCACGACTCCTCTTCCTCCATCTTTCACCCCAGAATACCGACCGTATCTCACCTCCAAATCGCCCATCATGAATCCCGAGTAGTGAGTCCCACCCGCCACCGGACCCGCCGCCTGCCGCCATCCTCGCTTTGCTAACAAACCGCCTCCCAGAGTCAAACCATCCCATGGGCGCCGACGCCCCGAGTTCGCCGACCAAGGCAGAGCCGGTCATATTGACTCGGACACAGATACGACTACCTCTTCAAGCTCCTCCTCATCGGTGACTCCGGTGTTGGAAAGTCCTGCCTGCTCCTGCGATTCGCCGACGACACATATACCGAGTCCTACATCTCGACCATCGGCGTCGACTTCGTATGCATCCCGACATACGACCATTCTGTCCCGGCCCTTTGCTGACAGCCATCAGAAAATCCGCACGATCGAGCTCGACGGCAAGACGGTGAAGCTCCAGATCGTAAGCCACCAAAGCCCCCCGATCCCCATCACAACGACCAGAACTTTGCTAACCACGCGGCGTTTTCAGTGGGATACCGCCGGCCAAGAACGCTTCCGCACAATCACGTCGTCCTATTACCGTGGTGCCCACGGTATCTGCGTCGTCTACGATGTCACCGACATGGACAGCTTCAACAACGTCAAGCAGTGGCTGCAGGAGATTGACCGGTATGCCACCGAGGGTGTCAACAAGCTGCTCGTAGGCAACAAGAGCGATATGTCGGACAAGAAGGTGGTCGAGTACTCAGTCGCCAAGGTAAGCCCCCCGTCCAGCCTATCATATGCATGGACGCCTCGTCGCACCCTGGCTGCCTAGACCATAACCAACTCACCATCTCTTGTGCAGGAATTCGCCGACAGCCTCGGGATCCCTTTCCTCGAGACATCGGCCAAGAACGCTAGCAACGTTGAACAAGCATTCCTCACGATGGCGCGCCAGATCAAGGAGCGGATGGGTAGCAGCATCAACACAAACAACACCAAGGCGAACGTCAACGTGTCCCCTGGCCAGGGTGTGGCCAACAACCAGTCGGGCGGCTGCTGCTAAGCGAATGGGGCCAATCGGTTGTCGCGCTTGGTGTTGGGGTTCTGCATCGGATGGTTCTGACATGGCGTGGTTGGATGCGGAGTATTGCACTGGACTCGTCCGGGCTCGCGGTATTGGTGGAGTGGGCGTCTGGCTGCCTCGGCTGCCGTGTTGGGTGATTTCCTGAGGATGCGAACCGACTCTCTCTGTTCCCTACGCATTGGTCAACTTGGGCGGGAATCGGGACGACAAACGGGACACCGGGCCGGCCGATCCCCCAGGGCAGCCTCAACAGATAGAGCTTGACGAGCATCGAATACGGTCATCTGTGGCACCCAGAACGCACTGGGAGATGGGGGAGGGGCATCTGGCTTTCCCTTCTCCGTTGCCCTCCAATGTGTGTATTTCGATCTTGGGCATAGCTGGGGATACACAGGGAAGGAATGGCGGCCTTACACATGCGGTCTGTTTGTCTCTCTCTTTTCTCGCTTCTTGTTTTTGTGTTATCTGGGGCTTTTTTGTCGTTTTTAGCCATCGGCAGAGACAGGGCAGACTTGCGGGGGCTTCTCTCTTGAGGGGTCAGGCTCTTAGTTTCGCCCAGGGAGGCGTGCCGCTGTCTCTTAGCAATCATACAGGGGCAACGGAATAATGACCGGGTTGATATCGACTCTTGCTGATGGTGTTCCTCGGGTATATGTTATGTGACTGATGCAAGCAAAGTGACAGACAACTTAGCGGTCTTGCTTGTATTGCGTTTAACTACATACTTAGCTGTACAGGCCGATTCACTGTTTGTGAAAGCGATCAAAGCGACAATAACCAAAACTAGGAGGCCCGACAAAAAGGTAGTGCTTCCATGCCGAAGGCAATTTGGGGAAGGAGGCAAAAGAAGAATGATCGTACTCAGGCTCGAACTGAGGACCTTGAACGCTTTCATCTGTGAAGATGTGAAGCCCACGTGATAACCAACTACACCATACGACCTATCTGATTTGTTGATGGATGCAGTCCGAAAAGTGCTCCTTCACGAGTAGTTGCAGGTGCTCATGCAGGTGGTGAGAAATTGGACGCCAGCAGCAAGTTCTTCGTGTCGGGCTGTGCCTACCTAGAGACAGCACAGTACGGTGAGCCTCTGGAGAATCGTTCAAAGTTAATATGCTTGGCGGCTCCAGATAGACAGGCTCTGGTAGATCGAAAGAGCAATATAAATGGAAAGGGTTGGGGGAAGGTTCAAGATTTCGAGCGAAGGGTCAGAAGCGATGCATACTTCACCAGTCGACACTCCTCCCATTTCAGCCACATGCAGTGCCCCTATTGTCTTCTCGAACCGTTGCAACTTATTCTTGGGAATGAACATAAGCGGAAGGCTGTCCCGTAATATACTTCCATGTTTATTTTAAGGCAGAAGCTGAAAATGCCTTGCGCGTCGCCCCCCCTTCCCCTCCCGGAGCCGGGTCTCGGATTGGGGGCCACGCCGGTGGTTGCTGTGCCGCAACCCCTCCTCTTATTGACGCCGTCTCCCTCGAAGCTTGATCCGTTCTTTCACTCTCGAGCTGATCTCCAAGTCGCTGCGATGCGTCAATTGGTCGCCATCAAACAGCGGAGGATCGACGAGACGCCGGGTGCCACCTTTCCCTCTGGATTGAAGGTGCTTTACCAAGGCGATGACTGCATCGTCGAGTACGTCTTCCTGCCCGTCTTGGAGCATATGTTTTAACTCACAGTTCACAGCATCGTTTTTGTCCACGGTCTCACGGGTGACCGAGAGCGAACATGGCGACATGAAGAAGAGCAACTGCCCTGGCCGGAGAAGCTACTCCCCCAAAAGATTCCGAATTGTCGTGTCCTCACCTTTGGCTACGATGCCTACGTCACAGACCTCAAGGGCTTAGGTCGAATGGTATCGACGAGCACTGTTTCCGACCATGGTTCAAGCCTTGTGATGAGCCTGGGCAACCTGCGGACGGAGGATGGGACATCAACCCGACCCCTGATATTTGTTACGCACAGCCTCGGGGGCATCGTCTGCAAAGAGGTAAGTGCCATGCCGCTGATCTGTCTGCTCTGTGGTGTCTGACCATGGCTGTAAAGGGACTATGCTACGCGGCCAGGAAGGAAGGGGACCAACGGTTACGGATGCTGTATTCCTCCACCTGTGGTGTCTTATTCATGGGCACACCACATCAAGGCTCATCGTTAGCACATTGGGCCCAAGGTATTGCGAAGACCTTGGGATTCGTGAAGCAAACGAACAAACGCCTACTCAAAGTCTTGAGAACAGACTCTGAACTTCTGGCTCGGGGAAACGAGATGTTCCTGACCATGGTGGAGGACAGAAAAGCCGCCATATCACCGCTGTCCCCAATAAGGATAAGTTGTTTTTTCGAGGAACTTCCTTTGCCGGTTGTTGGTCTGGTAAGTGCCCCAAAGCATCCAGTCTTGTGCATCTCAGCTCACCCCTGGGAAGATTGTTCCTCGGGCGTCGGCTATTCTTCTCGGGCACGCCATCATTGGCATTCATGGCAATCATAGGGACATGGCCCGGTTTCGCGAACTGGATGACTGTGGCTTCCTGAATGTAGTGGGGGAGTTGAAAGAGTGCATCCGCTCCGCCAACATGCAGAGGCGCCCATCAAGGCGCCCACTCTGCCGTCGCCTGCGCTTTTGGAAGTCCAGCCATCTTCGATATCATGTTGGTCCAAATCCAAGGCAGGGTGCCCTCTTTTGCTAACATGAATCACCAGTCATAATGCCATTTTCTAGAAACGACAGCTTTGTAGGTCGCTCAGAAATACCCCAAAGCCCGAAGACCGTCGTATGCCATTCAGAGGACAGCTCGATCACATATCCGATCCACGAAGGAGCCGCATTCTATACCTTGGGGGGCACTGGGTGTGTTCTGTCCGCAAAGCACAGATGCTATCCTGCGCTAACATTGTTCTTTCCAGGAAGACTTATATTGTAATCGAGTACGCATGGAAACCACACCAAGAACCGCCAGACCTGGCCATATTTCGGATCCGAGCAAGCAGCGCCGACCGATGTATCGAATCTTACACACAAATTGCCCGCCGATTCATTCCCGGATTCGACGAGACTTCCTCGCCTTCCAAAGTAAAGCTTGAGTTGGTCAGGGACTGGCTCATTTCTCATCCGTCCCGGTGGCTCTTGGTGATTGACAAATACTGACGACACCTCTGTGCTCTTCGGTGACGACAAGGCCGCCTCCACCTCTGGTGTCTTGCCGTTCGGAACAACAGACAGAATCCGCGACTCTCCCCACGGTATGCCCTTGGGCAGGCCACCCTCTGTGTCAATATATCCGCGAGCCACCAAATGGGACTACCTATCTTGCTCACGTCTCGCAACAAGCAGGTTGTATATAAGTTTCTGAGAGGAAGGTCCAAGGGGTTGCTCAATATGGACGAGTACTTACGGTCCCTCAATGAAGAAGGCAGCGAGAAGTCTGCTGCTGCTGATCCCGGGGTTGGTGAAAACGGCGCATAAAATGCGGGAAATTGAAAGGTTATGTTCGAGCTCCTGTCCTGCGCTGAGGCAGATCTGGGGGGGTGACATTACAAGGGGCGGAGAAGGCGAAGGTTAGCTCGACGTCATTCGCGGGATGGAAGATATCTGGAAGAAAAGTGATGATATGATTTGATGCTTTGCCGTTGGAGGGTCCATAAATACCTCTGAGTCTATGCTACATTCGAGCGAATATTCTGCAGGGCTACTTGCGAGAAGAGATGTTGCTGTTGACGGACCATTGGCTTGAGAGTCGAAAGAACAAAAAAGTTACAGAATACAAAAATCTATTCTGTCAAATGCACCGAGCATCTTCACTGTCAAAAGGACAATGTGTCAAAAGGCAAAAAATACTCGGATACGGGGAGTCGAACCCCGGGCTGCTGAGAATCTGAAGATCCATTGAATCTCTCTATGAGAGTCAGCGATGTTACCGCTACACCATACCCGATTGAATCGTGCATGATCCCGAATTGATGGGAATGCAGTCTGAAACTTAGGTATATGTAAGGCCTGCACTTTGGATTGTTGTCACTTGCGATTGTCTCCCTGCCCTTCTGAACTTCAAAGTCTCCGACTTTCACACTGAAATATTCTTTACTTAACACATCCAGCTATAGCGTTCGATGGGAAGATATAACCTTCTCTTTATGGACGTTAGCATGTCACCACTAAGCAAAATACCTCTCCTGCTATCACTGCATCGACGGCCCATAACTTGACCAGACTACTTCTAGTCGTGCATTTTCCATCATTTCTCTAATCTGTTTCCATTTCTACATCATACTCCGTAGGTACCTGCTTAGGAAAGGAAAGCTTCCTCAACCCCCGGCCCTAACATCACCGCTCCAACGATCCGACGTCCCGATTCGATCCCGGTACTCCCCCAGCGCCACCCCTCATCGAAAATACGGCATCCTCGTCCACAGTTGCTCCAAGCTGCACCAAACCAGGAACGGCTGACGATTGGAAGCTGGTAGGGACTCAGCTCAGCCCCCTTCAGCTCGTCATGAACCCCCTCAGCCCTCCTCGATACCAGACATACTCCTGGGCACCCAACTCCTCACGCCTGTCTGTCAATCTCCAGGGCCCACCACACCGACACTTCTCTCCTGCTGCAGCGGTGTCGAGAGACCCGTTCGGTTATTACTCCGTCGCACAGAACCCAAGACACGCAGGGGAACAACGGGGGAATCGACTTTGGCGAGGGAGGGCAGCAGAAACAAAACGGCCACCGCCTTTCCTTCTCGGGAGCGGCAACCGAGATACTTCCCTTCCCTCTCAGGGGGGGGGGGGGTATCTTTCCATTCACCAGCCAGATCCAGAATACACTTTAACCTAGGTGCATCTCCTGCGGGCAGGCAAACTTCCCCCAACAGAGAATGCCGTGGCGACCTGTCTCAACGGCCTCCTCCACCAGACCGCTCCTACCGAATCTCATCTTTCTTTACCTGACAATGTCTCAGACCCGCGCCCCCCTTCTTCCTCCGGGATACGTGCGGATTCCCACGGCCCGGGCCCGGGCCCGGGCGTTTGGTAGGCACGTAAGGACCCCAGCAGCAGCTGGCAGCAGGGCTGAGATCGAGTCCAAGTCGTCTGGTGTGACACACACACACGGCCCACACACAAAGCTTGTCCTGAAGCTTTTCCGACTCGTCAACTGTCTTGGGCGCTTCTGGCTTCCTCTCTGTTCCCCGTCATCAAACGGGCCGTATGCCCCAAGCCACGCCTCTATCGATCGTTTCATGGCTGTGTGCCATTCCGGGAGGATGAGCCGAGGGGGGGGGGGCGTCGCGCCTCGTTTTTGACGCCACGGTGGAGGCTGGGTGGAGTGAGGCTTGAAACTGCCGTGATGATTGTGACAGTGATGCGCAGATCCAGCCGATGCCATGAGATGTGTTACCCTTCGCCACGCCTCTCGCCGGACAAGTCTCGCCCGCCGATCCAGGGCCGGGAGCCGCATGGTTGAGCCTCACCGCACCGGCCGACAAACCACGGACCTAGGTGCCTGCCGCAGCCGGGGAGGAGCCTGCTTCCAGCGCCATGGCACAGGGAGACATTGCCGAGTCCGCGGCGATCGAATGTGCCAGACGTCGGCCGGCTGGATCGACCGGCGCCGGTCGAGACATCGGCAAAGCCACAACGACATCATGCAAGACGGTTTTTGTCTGGGGCTGGCATATGATGACCCGTGAGATTGGATCGTGGGACAAGCCGTTTGGGGCTGGCGGGTGGGAGAGGACCTGAGGGATGAGGCCGAGACGCCGTTATTTACAGCCTGTGGGCTGACGTTGCCGGCCCCGGCGTGGGTTTGCCGCTTGGAAGCCTGGCGGTAGAAGGAGTAGGTTGGGGTCGCCGCTTTGGATGGTGGCCATACAGGACAGGTTATTCTGCTTGCGTCGGCGTCGGGCCGTGGTGACCCGCAAGGAGAAGGAACATGGCGCGATATCCATGCGTAATTGCAGGTTCCCTCTATCAAGGAACTGACATGCTCCTCTGGTGCTACTCTCCACGGTCAAGTGAGTTACCGGTGCCCCTGACTTGGTAGAAATGGGCTGTCGGCAGACGGCGAAGGGCGAGAGACGTCGCCGAAACAGCAAAGGACTTGGGCTGCCGTCAGGAAACTTCGGCGTGCGCCCTGAATGTTCGAGAAGACGCCGGAGAGTTTGGATAAGAAGGAGTACGACGGTGACGAGACTTTGCGAAGGAACAGGCTGGTACGATGGAGGCCCGAGTAACTTCACGGTGGTATTGTCGCGCCGGTACGCCTACCCAGCTCCTGTCACCTGTAAGATCAGCAATGTCGTTGGATGGCAACCAGAGAACACACACCATGGCACTAGCCAGCCCCGAATAGAGACTGTGGTGAGATCGAAGACAGACAACCAATAGCGGTGGCTGCCACGGGGTGCCTTCGTGTTCAGTTTGCTTATGAGTTCAGGACAGCTCGGTCCGACAAGGGAATTGGCGGAAGGTCGCCATGAAGGTGTTGTTGGTGCTATAGGAGTATGATGGAATAATATAGGGGGGCATGCTGAGATACTTTCACGATAGGTACCTATCCTGGAAGCAGCTGATCATGCGTTTCGAGCTTTCCACGGTGTCGAGAAGGGAAGGGTGAAACATGAAGGTTCAGCACCTCAGTAAGCTCTCGGCGGGCTCAGACCGTGACGTTGCAGTGTGCCCCGCATCGGCTCCCGCTCTTCACGTCGACGGTCGTACGCCGCGTGCCCGGTTCGTTCGAACCGGCTGCGGTAGGTCCGCGGTCGAGGGGATTCAACGACACCGGTAGATCTACCTCGAGGAAATTGGGGGAACCGGCCTTTCGGGGAGGACCGGGGGTCATTGGGGACGAGGTAGGCCTCTGGGCTGCTAAAAAGAACAACATCATCAGCTCAATGTCGTCTTGACTCGACGTGAAGTCGACTGCCTCAGCATCGGGGCTCTGGAGTCTGGATGGCAGGACAGGGCACGACCGAATGACGACATGGCCCAATTGCGACGGCTGCTGAGAGATCGGATGACCAGGCCAATGGGCTTCAAGAAGTCTTCACCCCCTGAGCTACGGAAAAGGGCGATAGTGATCGGGTACGGTACGTACTATGTTTCCTGGCGGTTGGCGCATATGGTTCAGGAACGCTGCAGGTGAGCCGGGTTTCCAGGATTCATGCGGACAATGTGCCAAAACCCGTCAACCAGCCCAATAGGCGGGCTCCAGTGCTGTCGACCCGGAACGGCAGCCTTCATAGGCTGGGTGAAGCTATCACTGGCCCTATAGCGGCCGTCTGCTATCGTCGAGGTCCGTCGTCAGAGGATCGTCCAGGGGCCAAGCACCCAAGCTGCGCGCGGGTTAGACGACGGCAAGATGGTTGAAATTTCAGGGGGTTGCATCTTCACAACCTGCATCTACGTCCGTATTCATCGGCTGCCAGAATCTGTCCAGCGGTGACATGGGCCTATGGATGGCCAGCTCTGCGTCGTGTTGGAGTAGAGACCATGGGTGATTATTTTGGGATCCGACTGAGATTGACTGGAGCAAGCAAGTTTGGGTCAGTGGAGGGGTGAAGGCGTTCGATCGAGGTGGATCCGGACCGGCCGATGAGGACGCCGACGCCCTGGCGGCAGCGAGCGAGATCTCTGGGTTTCCCGGTTCCATCGCATCAGCGCCTCGACTCTTTGTCTGCGGCTGCAGCCCGCACCGGGTGCACAGTTCTGCAGGGAACCCCATGGTTGGCTTAGGGCCGGTTTGCTGACCTCGAGGCTCCCCGGGAATTAAGTGAACCGTCCCCAGGAGGGCCATGACAAGCGAAGGCGAGATCGAGAATATGCACTTCAAGAGCGAAGAAGCGAACGAGAGGCCAAGCTTGTCACACTGGACGCCGTCCTCCGGAATCGAATCGGCTGGTGGTGGTCGAGGTCGAGATCGCGGTCGGGCAGGTTCACACCGTGGAGGACCTGTTCGGGCCACCGAGTTCGTGGCCGTGTCCTTCCCCACCGCGCCCGCGAGCGGCATCGTTTTTTATCGCCGACATGTGCCTGGGCAGCTGCTGGCCAATCCGCCGGGTCTGATTGGGACTCCAGCTGGCCGGAGGAGCTTCCCATTGCTTCTCTGCTGCCGGAGGCTGTCGGGACACGCTGCCGTGCTTCACGCTTCTGCGAGGCGCGAGCAACTCGGTGGTTACACAGCACCGTGTCGTTGTACGTCCGTATGCGCATATGTCAAATTGCTTGTCGCTGAAGGTGTTGACCGTGGGGCATGCTGAGCTGAATGGCTTCCCACGGGGAGCAGCCGCTGGCCGCTGGCGACTTCATCTGCAGACATGACGACACCTTGAGACAAACCGATCCTCGACAGTGCGGTGGCAGCGACCTGGAGGAGGCGGGTGCGGGTGCGGGTGAGGGTGCGGGTGCGCCGAGGAGAGCCGCGTCTTGCGTTTTGTGACGATGGGAGGAGTTCCTCCGCCGACTTTGAAGGATCATGAGTGCGAACTGTTTGCTGGGCAGTTGGTGATAGCATGAGTGTTAAACCTCCGGAGGCACTCGTTTGGGGCAGCCTTGCTGTAATTGGCAGTTGCGAGGCTTGAGAGACACCCGACACCACCAGCGATGCTGAGAGGGGGCACGGGGGATGGAAGCAGAGCGATGCAAACGACGTTGGAAGAAATTGTCAAAGACAGAATTAAAGGCAACTATCGCCCAATCGGGGCTGGCGTGTGAGTTGCACCTGCAACCCACAATGGCAGGTGCTTTGTTTGCGATGAACCTGGAAGTCTCACGATTCCTTCCAGATCTCGAAATGGCTCCCCCCACACTTCAGTTTGTTGCCACCCCTCTCTGTCCATCTTTTGTTTCCGAGTTTCCCTATGGTCTCCTTCAGATTGATGAAGCAAGCAGTCCCTTGGGCCGTACTGGTGGGCCAACAAGATGATGTCAGGCCCCGCGCCGCCAAAC